AGGAAGTGCAACTTATCAAATTTCAGATTATATTTCAAATTTTCAAATCATAGCGAAAAACATTTCAAATTATAAGTAAAAGCATGCAGCTAGTAAGACCAAAAATTCAAAAAACAAGATTTCAACTTAGCAAAGCTAGAAAATTGAACCAGATTAATCTGAAATTGCATATGTTTTGTTGTCTCTTTCAATATATCACAAGAATGCAAAATAGTAATATTGTTGGATATTTTTCCATGAAAATGAAAATATACATTGTAATTTAACTGAATTTGTTTTATGTTAATTCTATAGATTTCTCCGTTGTATTGACCTACGATCAATTGAGAGTAAATTCCAAAAGATTATACATGTTTGAAAAGTAAACAAAAGAGGATCAAGAGCGCTTCGTGACTCTCTTTTCATACTTCAGAATACGGTAATGTCCTAAAAGGATCATCCAATATTTATTATATGCTCTCATTGGATATTTTCAACAGTTCCACCCAGACTTGTTCTTCCTTAATAATGAAAATTTTCAATCTATCATTTATTTAAACTTTTTTTTTCATCCATTTTTCTTCTACGTGAATATAAAAATATTACTTGCGAACTGAAAATGATAAGTGAATACTTGCATAGGTAATGTCATAGATAATGTAATATATCATTTGAAAAAGAGTATTGCAAATGTGATCGTTTTGCACTAGTGATAATTAAAAGATAGATAGAGGTAACTGATAAGTAATAGTGGTGTCCAATAAATAAAACGCTCTTTTCATTCCCATTCCAATTATTTTTTAAATCTTAGATAATTAGATAAAAATATTAAATTTAATTAAATTTTGATTTCGGTAGAAAATATACTGCGCCTACGATTACTGAATACTGTTAAAATTTGTTTGCTAAAATAATCATTAAAAATCAAAAAATCTGTTATTTCAGAAGATTTCGAATGAAAAGCTAGTTGCATCCATGCTAATATTTGTGATACTATCAACAACAGAAGCATATTTTTCTAAATCACCACAGCTACAATCTCGATCATATCCATGTCATCTTCATTCACAAGCATTACTTTGTCGATTGCCAGCACCGCCACATACCACTCCATCCTCTTCTGCACCATCAAAACCACTCTTCCATCTTCCTTCACGTCTACCAAATCACGCAACAATTCCTTATTCTAATTTACCACCCTGTGTTGCATTATGTCCTCCACTACCATCATGTCCACCATCATCATCAGTATTTTGTCTTTTCTCATGTCCACTACCATCATCACTCTCCTCTCCTGGCCTACCAACAGCTTCACCACTTCAGTACCATTATGATAGCACAAAACCGATTAGCTCCAGTTCATCTTATTTGGATAGAATATCTGGAAGCTATCAAGATAGCTACAAAAGTCATCCCAAAAACGGTAATGAAAATGTAACCGATTTACCGGATTCCTCGTTTTCTGAAAAATCAAAACCAACTAAATTACTTCCATCCACTCAACAATTCAATCAACCATCTGATATTTATCTGCCAAATATAATCCATGAAAATGCATCAACTCCATTACAAGAACAACTATCTCAAATCACCGAGAAAGATGAATCTGTCGCAGAAATGGCAAAGGATGCTGGGGCATATGAAGTTAAATATCTGATAAAAAGTAACTGCTCATCGAATGACACTAACTGTGTTATCGATAATTTCATTGTACCACCAGAGGTACCAAAATTTGTTCATTTTGAAAGTGATTTAGTGAATATTGGAAGACAATTATTAAATTTACAAAATTGCTGAACTTAATTTGTAACTTTTATTGAAATATTTTGGAAGTTAAGCAGTTAATTCACAAAGTGATATTTTATATATCATGAAACGCAGATCTTTTGTTTTTGCAGAATGATTGCTGCACAAACTGTCTCGCTCCATGTCGTTTTCGGTATATACAAAAGACATCACTTAGAAGCGATCAAATTCAGGAAGTGGATCCGGTCTGCAATAATGAATTACTAAAACAGATAATCGACAAAGTTCGTGATTAACAAAAATTAATCAAATTTAAAATATACACTCTTGAAATCGTTTATGATCATAATGACCTGAGAAAACATCAATTTTGAACGAATTAAAGCAGTTACTATATTAAAATTTCAAGTAAAACAAAATTCTATAGTTCGCAGAGAGTTCATTCTTGAACAAAAAATTCAGCCGTGCTTTTTTTACTGAAAATAATTTGCAGCAAGTGGATGATGATATTAACAAATCTAAAATTCGAATAGAACGAACAGCACGATGGTTTCTTGGGGAATTATTTGGAGTGATCTGCGGAAATGATAATTTTGCTTACATAATTCAAACGAAGGATTTCTGTCAACATCGAAAAGGAAACGTTACTTGCTACGTTTTTCGACCATTTAGATTATAGTAAAAGCAATATTCTGTAAGGAAGCTAAAAGAACATGGCTATTGATGAGAGATGAAGTTAAAACTTTTTTAATACAAAAAATGTAAATTTTTTTTTAATTGACCTACAGTCTTCATTATATTAATTTTAAATAACATTTAAAATTGAATTAAAACAGGCATAAACGTTCTTTCATTTTCAACCATAAAATGCTGCAAGATTTAATGGAAAATATTCAAGCAGTGAAAAAAAGCAATTCAAGCAATGAATAAAATATATCAGAACGTATACAAAACGATGAGAAATAATGTTCAACTTTTATCTTACTTTACAAAAGAAGACAATGACTGTGGAAAAATAAAAAAATAGAAAAAGAACCATAATAATAGTTATAAGAATTTAGCTATATACAAAAATGATCAACATTTGGACATCTCAGATGACTAATTAAGTCGCTAGCTCGTAAATTATAATGTTGCAAAACGTTTAAATAACACATTCATTGACCCGTCCTTTGCACTTGCCAATCCTGCAAAGATCGTAACGAAGTGCAATAAACTAATTATTTCTTTAATTTATTAGTAAAGGGATTGAGCAGACTTATTATTACTAGTGATCCTATATTTTTCCAAAAATTGTTTTCTTTTCAACATGCCACTACAAGAGAATTTATATGTACCATCTAACCTGATTTGTCAAATTCTTTTAATAAACTCAGAACAATTCCACCTATCCGAAAAAAAGGTATATGAAATTGTTTAATTCCTTCACATTATATTAGGATATAAAGTAGACTTCCTGAATTCAGTAGAAGTTGAAAATACCTGCTGACAGAGAGGGCAACGATTGTTCTGCTTCACCCATAAAGCCATACAGCAATTATGAAACGAATGATTGCATTCACCCCATACTACGACACAATCATCTTGCTTATTTTCTGATTGGCATCGTAAGCAAGCATCTGAAAATTTCGATAAAGTAGACAAATTAAAGAGTTTCATTGCATGCTCATTAAGGAATTTGCAATGAATAAATTTGATCGACCCACCCATTAACTGTACTCGACATATCGCGCAAATGTCACATTCCACATCCCAAGTCCACATCGCTAATGCATTCCATTTTTTGAGCACAAATGGACGTTGTTCAATCAATGCTGTATCTTTTGATTTCTCCATATATCTGGAGGAATATTTATCCGATGAATCAATGAATTTTAAAACGTATACTAAAATGATATTAATAATAAAAACTCATTTTTGAGCAAGAACTATACAATGATAGCAAATTTAGTTGCATTTTGTGTTTACAGTAGTTGAAATGAAAAAGTGACTATAAATAAAAGCACTTCGACACGTAACATCTTCTGATATGTAAATTAAAATGGATGTTGTAACAGGAAGTACTTTTTACTATATCAACATCGTCACATTTCTATTCTATTAAAAGGTCCTATCCTATAAGAACGTGTGAAAGAAGAATGAAATCGGATAAAGGCCGTAACATACAACAAACAATAGGCAATAATATTTTATTTGAAGATATGTAGGAAATTAAAAAAGGACAATTGAAGAATTTAAATCTTTGACCGAGCATCCTCCATCATTGGTCCCAAAAACTTTTCAAATGTTGACAATACCTGCAAAATACAATACTGAAATATATCAGAATGAAAGTTATTTAAATTACAAAACATTTCACCGTTTTCTATTCATAAAAGACTATGTCTTCTTGGAATATAATCCCTACATATATTAAGACAAATATCTCATTATAGACTCAATTTTTAACTAACAGAACAGTTATTAATGCTAAAATGAGAACTGCCCATAAACATTTGTTTCATTTCATTCCCGTATTTGTTATGTGATTAAACAGTTACGCAAATGACAAGAAACAAACTTCATTGATGGAACAATTGCACATCATTTGCCTTTTAGAAATAATAATTTTAAAATGAAACTCTGTTGCAATAGAATTTCTAAGCACTTACCTCAGTCTTATTCAATTCCGAATGTTTCACCCATTCTAACATTGCTGCATAAACATTACCATCTCGTCGACCAAGAACAGAATGAAGTTCACGATCCGAAAAATCAAATGAATCTACTATAGCTACAGCATCCGGACGTAAATTTCCCAATATTTCATAGATACCACATTTTACGTTTTTCATTTGTTCATCCGACATATAATCCGCCTTAATAATATGTTTATATGGATAGCTGAGAAGCACTTTCCTATGATATCTTTGCTAGGAACGCATATGTTAGCAATCTAAGGTCATTCTGCTCGTGTTTAATTTAAAGACATATGATGAACTATTCTTTACAAATTATAAGAATTAAAAACGTTGCGCATGAAACATTATATCAATGAATGAATTGTAATGATACAAACAGGATAATAATTATGTGACTTACTCTCCTAAAGGAGTAACAATGAGTGGAAATAGCATAAAGTGAGTAGAGTTTGCCAATCAGGTTCAATACTCGCATTATCTCTGGTTCAGTGCACTGTGCTATTTTTGAAAAATAACTTTTTGCCATGAAACAAAGAATGTGTAACTGAAAACTATTGACAGTAAGTTTGTAGCTTGGAATATTAATTTCAATGTGGCGCTCAGAAAACAATTTGGTGAGATAAAATTTGGAAAACAAGAATTTGCACGATACTTCGAAATCTTTTTCAATTAATGCGAATTTGACGAATCCATTAACGAAATATCCAAAGTTCTTTAAATTTTTTCATTTTTACAGTGTTAGATGTAGCATAAAGAGATCAGTAATACTCACTCGACTTGCTTGACATAGCTCAACAGAAGTGCAGTTCCAAGCTTCTTCAGGAGAAAGATTTCTTTGAAGCTGTTGTAGATAATCAAATGTGAAATATATCTATAAATTGATAAATGCTTACAGTGCTGATTATTTTTAGAAAGCAATGAACATGAAAAATATAACAAGAAAGAATAACCAGTTCATCACGTGATCTCAATCAAGAGACTCGACCAAACTGCCTAAGTTTCCAGCGCAATAATTCACCTGATACTAAAAATGAACGCCAGTGCAACTATTTTAGGCCCGTCTATCCTGAACTATATATCTTCAGCTCCTTATCCGCATTCTCCAACAATATATTTGCACCAATATTCTTGGAAGCCAGCGAAATCACATTAAGCAATTATAAAATCACCTGGTTTCTAGCAGCTTGTTCGAAATCCTCAATCAAATCCTTATATTTCACTGTTTGCCACACTTGAAAACTAGACTTATATTTCCTATCACCAAGCAGGTATCTGGCAATTTCTGCTAGATGAGCATTGCTGGATCGTATTTCTTTTACTGTTTTCATTAAAAAGCTGCAATATTGGTAATAATGATAATTACTGTAATCCAAAAATTTAACCTTTTCCATAAACATCGAAAAAAAGGTTGAAGTTTAAATCAACACACCGTGCAACCTGAAGTAGCATGACGATATTTTCTCCTTCGTATGTACAACCAGCAACGGCGAAAGAATAAATTTCTGGCAAACCGGATACATGTGAATAACCATGTCCACCACATGCTAATCGACATTGTTCTATGCCCTGCATACAATTCCCAAATACATAAATCTTCCAAGAATGGCATTGTCACATGCATTTCTCGAGAATATATTATTGCCTTCTTATGATTCGAAAATGAGAAATCTGAATGTCATGTTTAGTTATTGCCTTGAAAACTTATAAAAAAATATAATATAATCCACAGAAAAAGTTACGGACCTTTGCAACCTCCCATGTAACAACAGCTTTGACGCCTGCAGAAAGAATGTGTATTTCTTGCAACAGTTCAGTAATACCATCCGAAAGTTGTTGGTTGACCTTAAATTCTTGAATTAGAACTATAATCTGAAAAACCTTGAACAATAATTAGAAAAAATTAAATGAATAGTGGAAAATGTAACTATCATAATAACTTATGGAATGATTAAAAAAAAGTTTCTAGTATCTCGCAAGACATTACTGGAAAAAGATCAAAAAGTACCCTCATATATAAATCTTTTACTTCCGTAGCGGCAAATAAAAACACAAAAGACTGAGCAAGATAAGGAAGAATACGGTACTGTTGCGTTCGATAATCAAGTATTTGAACTTCCTTCAAACTGAAAACTTTTAGCACATTCAAAATTGAACAATATGAATATATTCAGTAATATATGAAGTCGTAAATCTCATTATGACCATAACAATCTGATATTTCAGATATTATAAGAAAATAAACTATTAGCACAAAACATAAAAAATTAAATCATACTTATACAACATTAAGACTTACCCAGGTTTCCACTCTCCTTGCCTTCTAATAGCAGAATAACGTATAGCTATTGTAACTGCAGCAGCCAATTGCATAGCCTGGTCTCGTACCATAATTGATCGCACAAATACCATTGTACCATAACGCAGTTTGGAATGTTTCGGAGCAATGTATTCACCATCCGATAAGACCTAACTAATGCAAAAAAACTCAGAAACTTCATGAAATCATCAAACAAATAATTATATAAATGAATTACCAAAAGAGCTTACTTGTGAATAACGCATGAACATATTTTTACGTGGGATGCGATAATTGTTAAATATAAGAAAGCCATTGTCATTGCCAGGAATACCCATTTTCGGACCAATATCTCCAATTGTGATGCCTGAATTAAATATTTATAAAAAAAATGCAAAGAATAAACTAGAAATTTGATTGTATTTAATAAGTTAAGGCCAAGGCCTTTTCAGGAACTGATATTCATTCGCAATCTCGCAAAATGCTTTAAACTGGCAAACTTTTCATACATAGGATACTCTTAAATACTGTTAGTTTAAAGAAAGAAATCTGTTCTCTACATCTGCATTATTACTCAGAAATATAAATTTAATCACCAGGCAAAGGCATGTGAGTGTCGAGATCTCTGAGCTGAACAATGAACATATGTAATCCTTTATTGCTTCCGTTAATGATAAGCTGTGCAGGAATTACGGCATGATTTGATGATTTCCCAAGACCACCTGCCCACCATTTTGTTGCCGAAACTGATGGTGTATGCAGTACGAATTCATCTGTTTTTTGATCATATGTTGCTGTTGTTTCCAACTTTGAAATATTAGTACCTTAAAAACAACAGCAAAATTTACATACCTGCAGTACAACACAATTTTTATTAAAAAATTGCTTGATAAATTGGATTCAGTACCAATTTTGATAGTTTATCCACAACAAAATTTATTTCAGCGTCAAAGACCTTCTGTTCTAAATCGGAACTTTTTTTACACAGGTTAGAAAAAAAAATGTACAAAATAAAATTATAAACCATGTCCAAGTTCAGTTTGTGCATAAGTCCCAATGATGGCTCGAGTGACGGCCAATGGAAGCCAGTAGTCCAACTGATCATCATCAGCTTGTCCTTGAATAGTTGGTATGAACATCCCATAATGCAACGACATTGCATGGAAATCACGTCCCATTATCAAACTATAATTACCCAACTAATTCAATTTCAAACTAATCAATCAATTTCTCTAAAATTCTGCAAATAATTTACCACCAAACAAAAATAAATTATACCTTTGAAATAATAGTCCTTCCTCGAACATATCCGACTGATCAATAAACGCTATTTTATTGGTCATTGCTATGATCTGAGCAGCGTAATTAAGCTATTATTAGATGGTTCATTCAAAAACAAAATGTGAAAGAATTCATGTACTTAAATTCTAACACCTATTTAATCTTTCGAATGAATTTCCAAAGTATTAAATGATCCCTTTTCGAATTTTAAATAGTTCTTTTTCGAAGAAATGAGTAAAGATTGGAATGTAAGAAACAAAATCAAAAGAAAAAAATAAACCTTCCGCGCATTATTCTCAACTCGTTCCTTACGGCTCATGAATTCAGGTGGTATCGGATCCTGGAAATCTTCCTGAGATTCTACAAACTTCAGTATTTCATGTCTTCTACGAAGTTTTTCTTCACCACCATGTATGAATGCAGCCAATTTACCAACCGAAAAGGATGATCCTCGTCGTTCTTTGGTAATATCTTCATTGTCACCCGGTTCAATTAAATTATGTCGCATTTTGGGACACTAATAATTTGTTCCCTTCAACATATCTAAATATTTTATCGCCGACTATTAAGTTATTTCAGAAAACTTCATAAAGAAGCAAATAAACTGTCATAACTATTATTAATGCTTTAAAATCAATTTCAGAACACAAAATTATTATATAAATTGAGGCATTAAGATATGCTATTAAATGATTCTTAAAAATAAATTATTTCACCGCTATTTGATTATCAATAAAATATTACACACCAGTCACAACATATACAAAACAGAAAGTGATTTTTAACAATTGGCAGATAAAAATGAAAAAAATAAAGAAGCTAATCAGAGTTATGATTTAAATCTTGCCGTCAATGAATTAAAACTTGTATACATTAGTTGGGTGGCAGCGCTATTTATCTGTTGTTGACCACATACAAGTCAATACGAATCAAGTTTGACAACCACACAACATACCACCAATAACAATTAACCACTCATTCGAATTAACCAAGGCCATCGTAAATATATATTAACCATCTTCGTATTCCTTCACATCTTATACTAACTCTCATATACACTCTCGAATTTTCTAAACGATGCATTTAGAAAAAGAATGAGCAAATTTGAAACTCCCTTTTTCCTTGCATATGAATAAATATAAACATAGCGATTTAATTTGTAAATATTAAACTTTGAGATTTGCGTTAAAAAAGTTATTGAAAGAATTGATTCCACAAGAATACGCGATCACGTAGGAAATCGTGTATGTTCACATTGTGATTGTCACTATTAAATACGTCCGGGAATGTTGTCATGAAAAGCACGTGCGTTTCATGACAACATCCCTCACATATCTCATACGATAAAGATGACTTTCAAGATATAGAAAATGTGAATGCAATCATTTCTTCATTTAAATCTAAACAACTCAGAAAAGATAAATATAAGAATATTAAAATTATAACTTATACCATCTGCAATTACTTAGCAACAGATATCGTCCCTTTCCCAAAATACTCTGCTTGAATATTTGGCTATTTTTATAATTTCAAAACACAATTCTAAAATCGAATAACTTTATTGAAATTCAATTAATCAGAAAGAATCATAACAAAAACATTTCCTTTAAAGCATTCAATACAAAAATAAATTCCATTTATATTGCACGGCTAATCCCCGTTAATGGATAGAATTTATGTTTACATCCAGCAATAAAAACCATCTCTCATGTTCACTCGCAATCACTGTAATGTTTGCGTTTTCTTCTTTTCTTTCTTAAAAAAATTATACATATCTACTAGCCGAAAAACTACCATGCTTTATCTCTATACTTTTTATCTCATCCCAAATAGTGGAATTTCATACATTTCACTTATCAAATATAAAAAATGCGAAATTTGAAAGTATTCAAATTTGAACAATCAAACAATAAAAAACTATCAATAGTCTTTCAAGAAAGCATTATATACATTCAAATATGTATGTGCCACATTAAGAGCAAATTTTTTATCGGATGGTTGCAATAGAGAACTAAGATGTACATAGTTCGCTGAACCTTCGTCATAATCAGCTTTATGTAACTGTACTAAAAATTCGTGCCGTCTGCGAATTGCACCAATGGGAAATCTCAAACATAATGGCCATTCAGAAATTTGCATGTTTGATAGATGCACACTGTAACGAAGATAACTGTACGTTGCACGTAAAGCATTCGGCTCTAAAACATTGATCAGAACCCATTTGATATCCAATTCAACACTTCCACAACTTTTTACTATAGTGAGACACCAATACTTTTTTTTTCAGTAATATTTGTGACATCACTCCATACAGCCGAATAAATATGCATTTTCCATTTTTCATTAGAGTTCGATATCTCAGATGTTCTCAGGTATTCACTAACAAAACATTACAACTGGTATAGATTCAATTCATTAATCAATCAATTCATTAAAAAGGTTCTACTCACCCATCATGAACACTCTCGGATCTTTCATCAAAATTGCCTTAATTTGTTCTTTTGTAAATTCCAACTCTTCGCTCAACATAGTAACAAGTTGCTGCAAGGATATCACATATTAACTTCATTAGCAGTAACAATCCTTGCCCGCTTCTTTTGAAATTTAATGTGAACCGAAATTTTTAAAATGTCATATCAGTACTGTAAACTTCATCAAAATCTCTACAACGAAAACATCATCCACGTGCTCACTTTAAGCGATCCAACACCGTACATAATAATTCTTGGCTCGGTAACTATGACTTGACGCATTTCATCTCCTGTCAACTCAAAGGTCTTTTGAATCCATCCTAATCGAGCATCCGTTGTTTTGACGTCTGTATTTAACCAAAACCTAAATAAAATACACCAATGGAATGAATGCATAGAGATAACAAATATTTCCCATAATTAGGATCATGAATTTTTAGTTTTTTCAGATTTTCAAGCACAGTGAATAAATACTCATTCACTGCCTCAATAACTTACAAGAAATTATGATTTTTACAAGAAATCAAAAAATTCGAAGATTTTGAATCAAAAAAAACCAACCTATTGTTTCTCACAATTTTAAGGATTTTTGCCTTAGTTAGTCGCTTTGTATAAAGATAATTTAATCGCACCTAGAATTACATAAAACATAGCACTTTTATTCTGACTGCTCTGCTAAGATATTGAATGAAGAAAATTTTTAAGCTTTTTTATAGAGAAAAACAATGATCGTTAACCTGCATGCTTTCTAAATCTTGTAATAAGAAATACGGATTTCGTGTTAAATATGAGCCAACATCGGTTATAGGCATACCAACTTGATGAATCAACCAAACAAGTTTCGGTCTTACATCATTTTCCCAATCTAATTTTATCAATTTACGGCCAATATGTGCCACTGAATCCACCTACAAAACAGCTGGTCATAAAACTGACAAACAATGCATTTTACAGTCCCACAAATTTTCGAAGTTCATTTGAAATTTTCGAGTGAAAGCACTTCATAAACTTAACTAACACAAACCTCAAATAAATCCATGCCTAGTTCGACAAGTACCTGTAATACCGGTAAATGATTCACGTAGTGAGCAATAGACCATGAATGCGTGGGAGGTAACAATGACGGATTTGTGTTCGGATCGAATGGATGTGGGTTGTCCCTAAACAAATCAAAAGAACCTGTAAAATAAATAAGAATTTTATGTGTGAAAAATATTTTAAAAACCGAAGGAAATCATCATAAGATGCAAACCACTTTTTGGCATAATCATGTCCAATGATTTTGCACATAATGCTGGAACCACAAATATAACCAAATTTATTACTAGTAGCAGCTTGCCAAATAAATTAATGAATTCAGTATGTCATTACAATGGGATAGAATCACCAGAGTCAAAAGCATATTAATTCAACTCTTAAACCTTAGATTTTTGCTTTTAACAAAGGGAAGGAACCTTGAAGGTGGCTGCATAAAGTTCGATTTATCCAGTTCTCCTTCTGAATAAACAATGGGCCGAAATCGATTGACTTCCACTTTTTTCTTTTTCCGTCGTGTTGAGGAATTCTGCAGTGCTAGCTGTAAAGATATTCTACAAATTCTATATAACCGAAGCATATAATCAGTTTATTTCAGATTATATCTCACTAAAAGAATATATGCAAGAAAATAGCACTTTCTTCCAATTCCTTATCATCTTAACTCAAGAGAGTTTCATCGTCTCCAGTCTGTTCATATTTTGGAGGTAATAGATGCTCTTTATAATTTTAAATGAATAACCTACAGTTCTATCAACGTTATTTACTTGTTTTGATTCAAAATTTTTCTTTTTATCAAAGGCGTTTGGCACAAAATCGCTGGACGAAATATTCCGCTTTCCAATCTATAATAGATTGAATTTAATTCACTTAATTTATAAGTAGAAACAATGCAGTTCTTTCTTCTTCGCATCAGTTTTTCTTACATCAATTTGCACATTAGCAGTAAAACTACTCATTTCCTGGAAAGTTTTTATTAGGACTGTTGAAATATTAATTACATAAAGATTTCCCAATATGCATATGCTTAAAGTTGATGAATCACACCAATAAAACTGCACACTTAGAGCTAAATAAAAGTGATATACCTCATTCCATTTATCACTGACTTCTGCCGCCTCCTGTACATTACCATCAACGAACTTTCGGAAGCAAAAAGTACCGAGAACAGTTTTCTGAAGATCCGGATAACTACGTCGTATAAAAATCATATACCAAAAAAGTCAGACTTTTCAAAACCGAATCACCTAAATATTCATCACATTCATATAAGCGAATAACGCCCTAATCCGAATAACGCTCTAATTACGGAAATCTTTGTCTATCTACATATCATGCAATTAAACTGAAAGATTTGTCTGAAGATTCGAAGAACAAAATATTTCCCATGTGATTAGAGATAATTTATTCTTGGTGTCACCTTACGGCAGGAAAGAAAAACATATCATTCGAAAATTTTATTTCAACGAAATAATGAACAAAATTATGTTCAAGTAACAGTAATTAATTGAATTCAACCTCATCATGCACTATTACTTCAGTTAAACAAATCCAAAAACTAAAAAAGTAGTGATATTTTAATTCAGACAAAGTGATGTGATAATCGCCAAAATGTCACCGGTTTGTGAAAATTCAAAGTTTATTCTAATTCAAATTAATTAAGTTTTAACCGATGGTGGAGATGATTGAACTGCATCAAAACACAACCTGCATTTCTTAGCTTCCAGTAAATTTTATGAGTTACAAAGGCTAAATCTCCTGATATCTCAAAAATTACAAAACCAAATTTCGATAATAACTGACATCTAAAAAAATTGGTGAATCCAAAACAAAGTAAAAATACGACAGAAAATACAAGCAAAAAGTAAGTCGTTGAGATGTAATATAATTATAAAAAACACTACTGCTTCGCTGCACTTACAGCAGCACTTGGGCCAAGCAGCATTTGCCTCTGCTGAGCTACCTGAAACAAAAATTAATTACTGGAATCAAAACTTTCTGATTGATCACTAAGTTCAAAACGCTAAGTGGCAAATAAAAGCAAAGACAATAAGTTAACTTAGTTATGTGATACTAAAGTGAGTAAATGTAAACACAATGTATGCATGTATATTCAACAAACTAACTCCCTAAATCTACCATCCTGAACAGAAATCACTTTTAACTCCTTTTATAGACAGAAGGTTAATTTAGATCGTTTATCATGAAAGAGGAAGGTATCTGATTATTCATCGAAATAACACACGTGAAAATCATTTAAATTACACAATCTCAATGACAAAAGAAGCATGTAGTATATTTAAAAAGCAAACCTGGCTTTTTTCGTATTCAGACCTTTCTTTTTCGATTACATAAGGTAGGACTAAAATCATCATCGATGATGTTACAATCCAAAGCGCAGATTTCACAAACGAAAACTAAAATTAGAAAAGGCACCACATTTAAATTGAAAGTTGCACTATATATTTACCTTTCCAATATGCATGTATTATCTAGCAGCCAAATTCAAATTCAATAAACAAATATTTCCCAAAAAAGTAATTCCGGAAGGGATATATTATGAATATGCTACGTTAATATCAGCAAAGCATTAGAAAAAGAAAAAAACATCTACCGCGTGTTTTGCAGCCCACACCGACCAATCAACAGACCACTCTAGCTTACATCTGAATACATCTGGAAACATCTCACGAAGACCCCAAAGTCTTTCAGCAATCGTTTCTTCCAATTCATCATCCGGAATCTGATCCCATTCATCACCACCAATTCTACTAGCTGCCATTTTCCTGCTTCTTTTTCTCTTTTAGTAGCAACTAATAGAAGTTTTTTAATTTGTTTGATCAAATAAGATTCAGCTCCGCTTAGCCCTTAAAGCAACTATACTACGATGCAAGTCACAAAGAAAAATTTTATAGTAATCAAGTTTTTTTTTTTTTGATTTGCATTTCGAATAATGATAATTATTCAAAATGAAAATCAAAAAAAAAACTTGAAATGAAACAGTGATCAGTAAGCACAATTTTGGATAAAAGACATGCAACCACGAAGAAAACAGCAAAAAGTTAGCTATATTCAAGTCTAAATATCTTTTGAAGAATTCTATGCCAAAGCTTGAATATGGTCAATGAAATTTTTTAAAAAAACATAAGAAACATTTACAAAAAAATTCATAACGTTGTTAAACTTCAAAAATACCACAATCAAAATGATATTAAAGCACAAGCATAAAAATTAAATGGCCAATTATTGATGAATTTGGTTTGAGTTTTATTTCACTAACAACATTTAACAAAACACGACAAGACTGTAGATTAAAAAATACTTCATAAAAAATTTGAAAAATACAAATGTTGGACTTCATAGAAAATTTTGAACAATACAAAATGTTCATAATAAAGAGATAAATATTTGGCTATTTCGTACGAAACATTCTGCAGAATTATGAAACCGTCAAATTCATAATGGATTATTGTTCCTAACGCAATTGATATATAAATCTATGATGAGTAAACACGCTTCATTCTCTTACTACTTAATACCAATTTCTCCTAGCATCGTGCAGATTATAAAGAAGATAACTTATGAAGACTAAATTCTGAAAAACATGACTGGACTGTCCTTCTTGGTAAAACTGATTATCCGATAAAAAATGATTCAAAAAAATTTAAGCCAAAACTTTCAAATCAAAAAGAAATGTGTCCAAAATAAAAACGAAACAACAGCGATGGTGTAATCAACACATAACAATTCATAACAACAAATTGCTTTTGAACACAAAACTTCACTTATTTATGTCCCATCTGTTTCCATTGGAGCATCGCCATCACTTGCAGCTTGAGAGTTCAACGGATGAACAGTCGTAACGGGATCCAACTCTGCATTAGATGATATACGAATAGGATCTCCAATGATATTCGAACGTACTAACTGTGCTGATGTTTTGGCATCAATGAATAATTCAGCACATTGTCGCACATCTTCTTTCTAAACTTATTTCAAGGTATGTCGCAACAAAATAAGAATCGTTGGTTATTAATCTGATTATGAGTTTGTGGTTATTTCAAAGAAAAAAACTTTCTTATGGACCAAACAGAATATAGGATGTAACTGAACTAAATCATCACAAGGAAGAAAATATCATTTCATATAAAAGTTTTAGCCAATTTAAAACCACGTTCTTTATCAATAAGAATCATGATATAAAAATAAACAGTGAATGTTCTACTATATATGTACAGAAAGAAAAACAAACCGTAACAGTGTCACGACTATTTACTTGGGCAAGTAATTTTGCAGGTGTAAGTAATTGCACAACATATCTCAAAGATGTATCCGCGCCCAAGTTGCTCAAGTATATTAAGGCATCCTCATCCAGTTTTACACTTTCTGCGTCGGCTCGGATCTTTACAATAGACAATATTTCTTCAATTTTATACGGCTTTGTAACGATTATCAAGATGCGATCTAATAAATCCGACGGGATACCGTGTGGTGATATCATTTCTGTACCTCTGAAAAAAAGAATTCTTCTATGAAATAAATCCTCAGTTTGCACTTCCTAGAATATTAGCCAGCTAATACGTCGAAATCACGGTTAAATTTGGACACTGCAGAAATAGTTTTGAAAAAAGATCCTTCGCATATAAACTTACCGAACTTTGCACTGACCACGATTAGTAGCAAAAATTACAATGGGACTAATAGTGCTCTCAAGCGCTCGATGTAAATATGTGAAGCATTCAATATCCAGCATATGCACTTCATCTATGAATAACACACCTGGCATTAATTCAGCAATACCCTGAAACACAGAGAAAATAATTTACCCAAAACTAATTGACTCATACCAACTTCAAAATATCTCAAAGCATACTTGTTCAATATAATCGTTCACGACATTGTTAACTTCTTGTCGTAACCTTTCTGTAATTTCAGTTTTTTTTGGTTTCAACAACTGTCCTACAAGTGACTTTACGTTACCAGCAGTACCATGTGGACGAGCATTTGCAACATCCAGATCGTGCAACGTAACATCCTACAATTCCCTTGAATGAACATAAAGGATCAAGTGATTTGTGAAAAACGAGTTGTAATTTTCAAAAAAAAAAAAAAAAACTCCATGAAACATTCAATACTTGGACGACTTCCTTCGATTTCCGAACATCGCCTTTCGGCAGTGGCACAAATTCGTCAGCTTCCAAATCAAATTCCGTAGCGTATATATCACATCGACCAAGCCTCTAAATCAGGATAATTACTATATAATTTTCAACAAATTTTGCTTCAACTTCCACAACAAAAATGCAACTTCAAAGAGATGTGATAAAAGTAATGAAAGTACAAAATAATATAATATGATTAAATTCGAACCTTCACAGTCCCACTATTCGCCTCAATATAGATGACATCTCCAACTTCAATTTTTTGCTTCAAAAGTGTGTCATAAATTGATGGGTCAAGTTTTAACTGTTTACTTCCTTTAACGGTCTTCAAACCGATCAACACATGTGATATTATCTGTAAAAATGTTTAACAATAAAATTCCAGTGTATGGAAGTTTTACTTAATATTACAGCGATTTTGTAATTATTAGATACTTCATTATCAACCACTTGAAATGAACATTCAAACCTCAGGTAGTAGGAGAATTACTTAGACTTAAGAATTTATCTAACAAGCTAGCCCTGTCTATTCGACTGTAAAATTCAATAACAAGCCGATCTAACTTTGCCATAGCCACCAGTTGCATTTTCGTTTTCTACTGGTGTTAGTTCTGTAACTTCACCTTCATATACTTCTTTCTTCTCCCTAACACGTAAACCTGCAATAAATATATTGGAAAATGACTTAAATATGAATGAAATATAATTACACAAACAAAGAATTTAATTTGGTTATTCAGAATAACATACAGTTTAAATTTTTTACGTTATAATTCATTTAGCGAAAGATACAAAAGATAATTACCAATCGATCTGCGGAAATTCTCCATCAGTACTTCAGTTTTCTTCACCTCTGATGAATAAACTTCAGAACCAATCATTGGACAAAACGGCATCTTATCACCCAATTCTTGCGCCATTGCTAGTGCTATAGCTGTCTACAAATGCGATGAAGTGAGAGGTTACGAAATCAAAAGAAATATTTTCAAATAGAAATCTTTGGAACTCCGTGTTTAAAACTGAAATAAGTTAAAAAACTGCCTACTGGTCAAAATGACAAATATAGAAACTACACCTTTCCAGTCCCTGGTGGTCCAGCTAGAAGAATAGCACGTCCAGCCATGCGCTTTGTACGAATTAAATCCACAATCACACCAGCTGCTTCTCGTGCTTCTAATTGTCCAATAAAGCCACTTGCCTAAATTCTCCGCTCTAAATAAGGCATTTTCCTAAGAAAATGATGAATTTGGATCATTCGTTGAAGTATAGAAATAATAACTATGGTAACCGCTATTCTCTTGAACACCAGCTTGCAAATAATAAGTAAGCCTAGAAGCAACAAAAATATCAATCTAAATTATCCGAAATAATAAATAAAGGTTACTCACAAAACTTACATTATCGTTAGGCATATGCGTTTCAGGATCTAGCCCTAAACCTTTCACGTGGCTATGAGCAGCAACTCTTTGCTTTCGAGCAGTTGATTTAACCTAAAAATTTCAAATGTAGGATCATTGCCACTTAAGATCAAAAAACATAGTTTTATAAAAACAGCAGATTTATAGGAAACATAAGTTCAATAACTATGACAAAAACATACTTCATCAATACTAATTAGTTTCGTCGATAATGCTTCACCACTTTCAACCGTCATCTAAAACAACACAGCTATCTCAAATATTAAATCAGTATGGGTGATGAAATGCTCAACAAAGTTACGCATTATATATTAAATGAAAATCGACACAAATCTACGGCTTACATTATATAAGTGAAAAAAATTTTCCAAAAAATGAAAATCTCCCACTATATGATTATTTTAAATTCTGTCATAAACAAATATGCATTTATGTAACACTTTCCTAATCAAGAATGATACGTAAAGACATTTGACGAACACGTACAAGCACCTCTAATACACGTACTTCATACGATCGCAAAGTCTGTACTCCGCTAAACCGCACCTGTGAAAATTGTGCAAATTGTATACTGATAGGCTGCAGTGAAATTAACATCCCACAGCATTAAATAAAGTATTATAATGGACCCCCGACGAATGAGAGGGTGATGGAATTTGCGGAATGGTAGTAGAGAATTGGAAGTATTGCTTAACTTAACTCCAAATCTGCTTAACTTATACTTCCAATTGTTTTTCATCTGTTGAATTATAAATCAACGAACACTTCACATACCTATCATAGTGTGATATATCAAGCGTTGGTTTGATTAATCTTTATTAGTGAAACAAATCACTTGTGACCTGTGGAAAAGAAAAACACAAATTTTACAACTTACATTACATCAAGTAATATCTGAATTTATCACAGAGCCACATTATCACAACCATAAAATCTTATGTCCAGTAGTTCCAACAAAAAATCAAGTTTAAAAAGGAAAAAAAAATCAAATTTGGTATTAAATTAAGTAGTAACGAAAGTTTAATTAAGATAACTAACAATTTTTTCCTTCAAATTTTCAAATAACTTAAATCGAACTAGAAATTTGAAAGTTTAGTATAAACTGAAAGCAAATTTCTTTTCCTGATACAATTGAATGGAATGATCCCAGATCAAATCTCATATTGTTACAATCATTCACTATTTACGGACAATAGCAAACACCAAGCAAGCACGACAACACGTTGTAGTTCTTTAGAAATTCGGAAATACTGTTCTCTAACTTACAACTGCATATTATGCCGACATGAAAGGATACTGATGAAAAAAATAAATTAAAGATGAAATAAATTAAAGGTACATAAACATCAGATCAACAAACATGTGATGATTGCATTTTTGAAAAATAAGATAACAGCACATACAAAAAGTATGACAGAACACATCAGTTGCACAGAAATTATGTAACAGTAAAATGAATACTTAGAAAGCCACACTATCAATGTTTGCTTCACAATTTATGCCAATTAAGAAAGCTGTGAAAACAGTTTTCAATAATAACTGAAAGTGAATCGAGTGTGAAATAAAATTAAACGTAGTTGTCTTCAAAGTAGAGCATATTTTACATGTCCAACAGGATCTGATTTTTTTTACAAACAATATCACTTCTGGAAATTCCAGAACTAAAATGTTCTAGGATTTTCAGAAGTGATATTGCTTGTAAAATGGGTATTTTAAGCTACAACAATCTTCAGAAATCAAGCCATAGTTAACTGAACTGTTAAACCATAAGCAAATATTAAGAAAGAGAGATTTCCTGAAAGACATTTCGCTTTCCATCAATATTCATTAATGGACTGTTGTCGTTTGGACTGGATTTATATCTAACAGCAGTAATACCATTCTTGGAATTGCCAGTCACTGAATCAATTTTGACTGTTGCCTCTTGGAAATCATTGCTTTTTTCATTTTCTCTCTTTTCTATCTTTTTCAATAACCAGTGTATCGCTGCAATGAACAGAAGCGGTACTGGTGTCATACTTGCGCAAATAACGGGAATCAGTGCACTAATGTCGGCATCCGGATCAGGAAATGACAACTGGAATTATTTAATAAAAGTTTCAGCGAAAAAGAAAGAATGATTAGGAAGTAATTACGGATCGTTAAGCGAGCTTTCCTGATAATCAAATTATTCTTCATTTAGTGAATTATGAAAACATATCAAAAAAATTTTTTGTCAATATTTTCGTATAATAAAATGATCCTTCAAAACAGTACTATTTTTTTCCATTTCATTAATATCAATTTCTGTTAATAAATTATATATGTATTAGCATTTAATAACCAGTGACAATGATTTACCTTTAACAGCATGATAGCTAAACCTGTATTCTGAATACCAGTTTCGATTGCTATCGAAGTGACATTGGGTGGAGATTGCCGAAGAATAACTGCTGTGAAGCAGCCAATCGCAAAGCCACACCAAGGAAGCAATAAACTTCTGAAATTTTGGACTGCAAAGCAAAAAAATAAGACGAAGAATTGGAACAGCATTAAAAAAAATAAAAGTAAATGATACCCAATAACAGCTGTCCACGTCAGCAAACGAATCATATATATGTTGGCTACTGTTCCAAAACCAATTAAAAAAACGAGGACGAATACAATAAATGGACGCATAACCTAAAAATGGACACATTGCCTGTACTGAAGAGCAACCCTATCCGTTTCAAAAGAAAAAAAACTAACAAATTCCATTCTTTAGTTTTGAAAAGCAAACCTTTCGAGCCCGAGATCGTAAAGTTGGCTTGAAATGTGAAATTGTAACACCGAAAATCAGCGGTACTATCAATATAACCAAAGAAGTGACGATTTTGATGTATGGAATCTTGATAATTACTTCAGGATGGAAACTGGCCAGAAAATGAAAACCCAAAAGCCACATCCATAATGGTATCATCACTATAATACTACGATAAACTAACTAGCACAATCAGAATCTTACTATATGCCACTCCTGGTACTCAGAAATTCATATCCCTGGAAAATTTGCATAAAACACAGTGCTTGAAACAATATAGAAAATCAATTTATAAAAGAAGTGGGAATTGCGTTTTTAAAGAGAAGGATAAAACAACTGCTAAAAAATGAAAAAAAAAAATTTGTCCTACAACAAATACCAAAAGTAGATTTTTTTGTCTTGAACTTTTACTTTTTTATTAATTAAGGATAAATTTACCTAAAGCTGCTACAGTGCTACAAAACGTCATTGTTAGAGACACTGGTAAGTTTCCATGCAACAAAACAGTCCAATAATTGCTGGCACCGCCACCAGGTACACAACCAGTAACAAATAAACCAAGTGCGAAAGAATGCAAACCGTTGGCAGTGAACACAGCATTTGCGATACCCCAAGCGAGCTAAACAAATTTCAATATTACTCGAGAAAAACAGTTCATTTAGCTTTTCCTCCAGACTATAGACATTATATTCGTGCTTTAGAACTTCTGATATAAAACTTAATTTTAAAAACCATCCGCCATCAATAAATCAAATTAGTTTAATTAGCAAGAAAATAACTACCAAAGGCATTGCAATAAACTGTGTGCAAAAACCGATCATCGGTGCTACGGGTTCTTTAATCACTTCCAACATAACACGTCCATCAAGCTAGAATAATAATTTGTAAATGAGTCACGACGATTGTTTCTTACAAAAAAAAAATAATTAGTTTGCATTAGATTAATAGCCGAATCCATTTATACTCCCCAGTTATTGATATAGGAAAAGGCAAACATCACGATTCCTAATTCAAATTTTAGTCAACTGAACTTTTTGCTTTTGTTCTAGGTTAGAAGTTCTTTATTCGTTTAAAAAAGTTTTGTCTGCAAAATAATGAAAAGCAAAGATAATTACCTCACATCCCATCAACATATTAGCGATGATGATCAGAATAGCCAGTGCTATTAGAAATACTCGATTTTCAAGCCGTTCATTGTTCTGAATAACCCAAACATCCAACGTATTACCTTGATCAAAAATATTTTCGTTCTGAAATAAAGAATTTCTCATTACATTGAAAGTTCTAAATTTGTGATAAAGTGGCTTGATGGAACATATCATACTTACTTTGTCTATTTCATACAAAAATCGATCATTATTCATAGTTTCATCCATACTTAATAAACGTACTTTTACGGCTGTTTTACCCAGGAAATGTCCGGTAAGTGTGACATTTACCTGCAAAGTTACAGTGAATTGCTCATTTCAAAAATGTCAATAAATTTGGAAGGAAAAAGCTCTTAAAAAAATCGTAAAAGAATAATTTTATAAGAACTTCGTAGGTTTCGGAATCGTTTCTCTTCGATGAATATTCACCCAATTTGAATTGTTCTCGTTCTTTCACTGTTGTAGCAATGTCTTCATCAACTGATCTGTAAGTCCAGAAAATATTATTGTAAAGAACAACCAACAATTGGGTTTGCTTGAAAAGCTTATTCTTCATTAGATGTACGATTTTCCTCACTTGTCGTGTGAAAATGAAGTTATTGTAAGGGGTTAAATTTTAGTCAAAAAAGTGAAATATTTAAGTACAAAACTGTTTAATGAAAAAAGTTCTGACTTCAGAATAATTGCAAATGGTTTTTTGGGTGGTAATTTCACAAATTCCTGACGATTCGTATCCATATCAATAGCTAATTTGACGGTTTTATTGGTACCAGCCACGAGATCATGAATGTATGGAGGATCGAATCGAACTCGAGCAATTGATTGTATTCCCGAGCTAGTCACTGATACCATCATATTCAGAATAAGCCGCATTAAGAGATAAAACGGACATCCTCGGGAAGCCATTTACTCCTAGTAGTAAACTTTATTTTTAAACAAAAGCAATTTAATTTATTCAAATGAGTCGAATGGTATTTCCAACTTAATTTGTTTTTTTTTTTTTCAAATAGAATGCATTATTGTGAACTATAGCTGACTCGCAGTCTCTGTAGTAAAAATGGAAAATAAAGAAAGGCAGAATCGAAATTACAAATCATTCAAACACTATCTTCATTAGTTAAACGAAAAATTCTGCAATAAGTTCATATGCTATTAACTGAAAGCAATTTAGATGCAACAGTACCATTTTCTAATATTAGAAAAATGGTTTCTAATACTATAATAATAGTTTAGTAGTATAAGCCAATAAATACATCAGTTCACAACAATTATTAATATCAATATCATATTGAAAGCTAAAATATCTTTAATATTACTAAAATTAAGTGGCTCCAAAAATTTATTTAATCTTTTGGATTAAAATTGTTTCCTGATTATGTAACTGCACGAAAAATAGCCCAACTTTTTCTGAGAATGAAAATTTTAAACCAACTACAAAAAAGTCAGGCATATTTTCGTATTGGTAACCTCAGTAACATTGCTTCAGCAATTTTCATAGTACTATGTCCAGCTTTGATAGTTGATAATAGGAATAACGATTAAATTAATGATAATAAATGAAATCATAGACAGGTGATGATTTGAACATTATCATTCGAGAAAATATTCAAGCTAAAGTCCTGAATTATCTATTGGAAAAATCTTAAAGAAAAAAAATTGAAATTTAAATTGCTTTTTTTTTTATGAAATGAAACTGCGGAACAAAACACACTCCAAAAACATTGCACCATTAAAATGAATAATGAGCAGATGAATCGTGATGGCAAAAATTTCAATTAAAGGAGCAATTTTGGGCGAGAATAGCACTCAGTCAACACAATTCTTTGTGATTACTTTCGAAAGGACATATTTCGTCTAATTTTCGCATAACTAATTACCAGAACTGACCGAGATTATTCTTTATCATTTTTTAGATGATAAAAAAGTGATCTACGCTACAACGAGTTTCGATAGAAAGAAAGTGCATCACTAAATGATGAATATAACGGAAATAATGTTTTAGGGAATATAAGAAATATAAGAAAAAAAAAACTAAAAAGCTATTTTGAAAGTCATTTTAAAGCTATTAAAAATTCCAAGACAAGACTAAGACTTCAACAGAACGAATAATTCTAATTGTTGCTATGGTTATTTAAACCATGGAATGTCATAAGATCGTTATCACTCTTAACAGAAACATTTTTATTTAAAATATAGTAAATAGTTCCAATAAAATGTTTTCTTTTCTTATCTCTAAAAATATTATATTATTGGAAAGTTAAGAAAATGTGAATGTTAGCTGAAGCAAAAGTTGCACGCCATCGTTTCTGATAAAACTACGAGCGCTTTTTATTGTGAAAAAAAAAAAACAAATTATTGCGAATAACAATAATAACAACAATGCAGTAAAGTGCATTTTTGATATTTTTTTTTTCAACTCTCATTACTAAAATATTACTGAAAGAAGAAACATAAACCATATAATTCAATTAGTAGAAGGTTGAATAACACACTCTACGACTATTTAACGGAAATTTCGAGGGAACTTATTTTATTACATAACAGAGGAGTAATTTTCATCACAAAATCAATGTTCCATGAAGTATGTATTTTTGCGAAAAAAAAAGAATTTAAAAATTTTTTGAGAAAATAAATTTCCTATATTGAATATGAAGGACAATTACGACGAAAAGTATTAGAATAATATCAAATGATGCCATGTTTCCATGCATAATAACTACATCACATTAACAGGAAACGATAAATTTCCCTTCCAGCGACCGAGATAAATGCTGTGTTCAAGCAACATTTTAGTCATTTGAATTTCCAATATTTCAAGCTGTATGAAGTGAATGACTGAAATGAGATGGATAAACATGAATAATGCATCAAACGACGAGACTTGTAAATGCTGTAATTAAGAAAAAAAAAAGTGATGAACAATAGATGATTAATTATTGATAAGAAAGAAATGACGTAACAGAATACTTGTCTGGTATGACAAGAAATTATTCACATTTTTTTTTCTCGTTAAAGAAAGAAATTATTCACATTTTTCTTTCTTTAACGAGCTTTTGAAAAGATGATTGACAATTCTCCGTCACAAAAAAAAAAATTTCATTTCCATATTTGTTTTTTTTTTTTTACAACTGAAAATTACGCACTTACAGAATTTCACGTTCATTGACCAAAAAATAAATCCCTCAAATTATTATCATATACTATTTATTAAGCGGAATGAATGAAAAGTATGAAATTGTATGCTTCTTCCTGAACTCCCACGCTTAATTATTATGCTTTGTATAGCACCGCGAGTTTTTTTTTTCGCGAAAAGTCAATATGTAGCAATATCCGCTTAGCCATTGTGCTATATCAAATCACGTTTCTAATATAATATCCTATAAGTGGAAGAATTCAAAAGATCGGAATGAGGAATGTATTATTGGTTATATAAAACTTATATGATTATGATTATTTCATTATTTGCTTTATAACCATGAAGATGAATTTTAATATACAATTTTTACTGCTAAAGGTTACTTTGAACATTTAAAATATTAAATTCCCGGCTTAAATGTAATCAAAGTTGGAGCTAGCAAATCATTACATCTATACCAATAAACTCTCACACACCTCCACAACCCAATCGATTAGAGAATTATATATGCAAAATTATATACACGTACACACATACACATGCACGCACATACATATACACGCACATACATATACACACACATACACATACACCCACACATATACACCCACACACATACGCCCACACACATACACCCACACACATACACCCACACACATACACCCACACACATACACACATAAGCAACATATATCGATAAACAAGTGCACGAGAGAGTGCAAACGCATCACATAATGGATTGGAATGCAACAACAATAAGCGTAGAGTTTGCAGTGATGAAAGCAATTGAGGAATTGTGACAACCAACAAAATTCAAAAAAAAATTTATTAGTCCCATATTAGAGAAAAAATGGAAAACTGAAAATGTAACAATATTTTCAAAGTAGAGCGTTCTTACAAACTCATAATAAATCCAATTTAAAATATTCTTATAAATGGAGCATTTCAGAATGCAATAACAGAAGCAAAAATCAAATGATAATCTCTAATTTGTCCAAATATTCCTGACAGTTTCATTGTTCTTCTTTTTCCACTCAGATTTTTTTGTAGTCTAACTGTTAAGTAATGTAAGATCTATGATAATCTTACTTAACATGTATAGAAATCAACCATTATTCGCACCGTATAAAAAATGAACGATAAAGCTTACCGATGTTTAGAATTCTTAATTATTAACAAGAAAATCAAATTAATACAATAAAGCAAATTTAAATGAACAGAAATTAAAAAGCACAATTTTTTACAATTCCATAAGAAAAAACACTGAAAATCGGTTTCCACATTTGATATCAAAAAAAAAATCTTTTTGTTCGTCACACATCCTGATGATATAAAAAGGCTTCATCGAAAGGAATAAAACATAGACAAAGTAAAGCATAGAAGGGATATATTTTCCATTTAATATGATTCTCGGTTATTAATAAAGAAAACGACAACAATAATCGCATGTGATTAAAAAGATTGTTTCAATTGATACTTGAACAAATTCCCCGCTTCTGAGTGAAGAAATTTCATTGATTCAAACATCCGACGTACGCGGACATTCAAAATAGAAACAAACATAGATTGCATGAATAACACCAGGAATCCAAGCCAGGATCGTGAAAATAATGTTCAACAATAAATGTATGTCACAGCCGCGAACAATTAAAACGGCAAGAGGCTGCAATAAACTCTGCGCTCTATTTCTTGATAAGAAGTTATTCTTTTTCAATTAAAGATGCTGAATATTGACGCATGTTGCTAGCAAGCGAATAATTTCAAGTCAAAAATTAAATTTGAAACTAATGTTTGAATATTAAATTAAGAATTTGTTTTTAAATTTCTGCTTTATTTCAGAAACAAATTCACTTACTGGAAACAAAAAACAAAGAATGATCAAGATCAATGAGAAGCACATTTCAACCAATGATAAGCACACGTATTGGTTGTCAATTGTCCGTGTTAAACGTAAACTGAAAATACACCATTGCATTTGTACAATAAGTGACGGAAATTTTTAGCTCACGTATGATTAAATCGATTGCGATAAGCGATGTAAATATTACTTCGACGATGATAATTGCGGTATCACTAAAAAAGATTAATAGGTGGGCAAAACATTCAAAAATGCGACTCCAAAAGAAAAAAAGAATTGCATATATTTACAGAAGAGCAAAGTTTTTACGTGACTCTGTAAGCCGCACATTTAACAAACAATTGTATTTTTATGTAATACGAGCTTAAATAATCTGATCGTAACATTAAAATACAATCGCAGAAATTTTATTTTCAAAATCAAAGAATAAATCACATCAGAAATTACTTGGAATACTTATTTGCCACTAAAAACACTATAACTTTATAATACGATATTTGGACAAAATGGGTCTGAAAATCAATGAAAAACGAATCAACTCAGGAATCAAAAATAGGTTCTAAAATAGGAAAATTTTTTATTTATCAGTTCCGCAAATAAACCGAAGACAAAGCACTATATTTCAGCCTTTATCAAATTGTTTGTCCATCATTTCTCACCGACATGAATAACGTAATGATTAACTTTCAAAAAAGCAGGGTATTAAGATTTACGTCCATCATTAACTAAACTGCATTTTTGTTTTCAATATGAAAATATCGAAAAACGATTCTAAATATGATTGTTTAATTTGCACTACTGTAAACAACAAATGAAAAAAAAAATAAAACGACGTAATCTTTAATCCATCCCAATATTTTACTAATACAATTAATCACGTGTTCAAATATTTCTTCCCATAAAACATTGACTTTTGTTCGAAATTGGATGATGTAATTGGAGAATTAATCTCATAAAATGGATTCATTGAAAGTTTGATATACATTTCGTAGATTTCCTGCAATGAGCTATCAAATCATTCAAGATAACAGGAAATCTATTTTTACTAAGCTGATAATCTTATGTCGGTATTGTTAAGTATTTTAAGTTTCAAAATTGTATATCAACTGCAATAGAACGCAATTGTTTAGAAAGGATTAGAAGAAAACAATCAGGAAGGGACTTCACTGGAACCAAATGTACTGAGACAACATATTGATGTCAAAAGTGAAAATTTCCTTAAAACATAACACTGAACAAAAACCTGGAAAAATTGCTTAATTCCATCTTCATTTTTCTGGCAGTGCAGCATAACAAATCTTATACGACTTGCAGTGACAAAAGCAGAAACGTACCACTCATTAAACTTATCCACAACCTGTAATCAAAATAAAACCATATTATTAATTAATGTTTGTGATTTTGAAATTGCTTCAAATCTGTTATTCGAAATATATTTACCTCTGTTACATTTATCACCTAAACAGAATGAATATTCAGTAAATGAATTTCTCAGATAATGATACGATTAGATAAGTGTTGTTGTGAATGGGTTCGTTTGGTTATTGATTTGATTTGATTTGGGTGAGCTCTGTTGTTATGTGCATAATCGAATCTGCTAGTGAAGGTTTTTTGGTGGAGAGGTTTTATTTTGGGGTTAACGTTATAGGGATTTTTGTATTTCCTTGAGATGGAAGTTGATCGTTATATAGATCACGATCTGATGGATTAGACTTGGATTCATTATTCGGGTTTTGGCCAAGAATACTTGTTCCAGACACTGTTGAATTTGATGACTACGTTAACTGATGTAGTTTATTGGATCGAATAGATATTTAGTTAGCGACAATATCGATAACGCGGGACAATGCTACCGGAAGTAATAATGATAAAATTTAGCAGATGATTTAATGATAGCTGCAAGAATAAGCGTACAGATGTTGAAATGGATGAAAAGGTCCCACCGGCCTCCCGGCCTGGTATATTTGGCTGTTTATATACCTAATGTAGGACGGTACCAGGAGAGTAGATGATAAGCTTAATAGATGACCTCGAGATCAGACAATATCATGTTGGAGAGGGAAGAAGAAAAGAGGGCAAAGGGCATTGTAAGGCAATCTCTTAATAAATAATAGCAACACAAAGAAATAAAGACAAAATTGTGAAATGCAGCTTCCTCAACTTAATTATCAAATTTATATATTTTACTGAGGAATACTTTTCATGGATTTAATTTGATAATTTTGTATTATGGATTAATTCTGAATTTCCGACAAGTGTACGATACCTTTAAATACATCTGAGGATTTGTGAGCATCTGTTCATCAATAATATCCAAAGCAGCATGAGCGATGAACTGATTGAGGTGACGTGTATCCGAATCAACTCGCTTTTTAGCATCAACCACAGGAAATTCCATTTCAAATATCAGCTGATCATTATGTCCAACAATAACAAAATAGTATCCTCGATCCGTACTCATTCCATCCTTCAATTCAATCCATGTATTTAAAATGAACTCAAACAAGAAAAGATACAAACAAACACTCCGCCCCCAATTTCATAAGAACTCTTCTCGGGGATGACACACAATAAAAAGGTATGACAGTTTTTAACGAGGCCCTTATCAGTGAGTTATTTTTGTTGAGCATTCCTGAGTAAATTTTTTGTTCTCTTTCCTTCCTTTTCTCTCCCTCCTTCTCTCTATTTATTTACATTTTTAAGACTGCTCTCTGTCTCTCCATATCATCGATGCGACTGATGATGATTCATTCATATTGAGAAATGATAAATAATTTCGAGAAAGAAGAAAGAAAAAAAAATGCGGGCAAATATAATTAAGAAATAATAAAAACTACCCGATAAATTGTTTTGCTTCATTACTGACCCAATTTGTTGAATTTGCGTTAATTGATTGTACGATCTGCGGAAAATTCACGCTTGTTTCTACATATTTATAACCGATTGTTCAATTTATTCATACTGCTAATTAGTCATTCAAACAAGGGACCTAAAAATTCCTCGTATATATACACATATTTGCATACCTAATTAGTGTTCAGTTAGAGTAATTGATTTCTGGGTACTGGTGGAGGAGGATTTTCGCACGTGGTTAGTGCTGAAGTGATCAAACGTAGTAGGAAATCGATAGCTCAAATTCATATGATTTGTTTGAGTATTTCATAAGATGTTCATTGCGTCATTCTGATAATGTTATTTTTTTTTCCTACATCCTCTGTCTTCTCATTTTTTATCAATCTCTGTCATCAAAAAACTGCGTTTCTTCTCATCCACAAACATCAAAACTCTTTTATCGTCTCTCACATCATAAGATTTTCTCCTCCCAAAAAATTTATGGCACTGTTTTTTTTTTCCTTTCAGATCGTCCTTTCACACATTTTTCTCTGATTTTGATTGTCAGGGATGTTTCATCATTGACATTTAGATAATTGATTGGTTTGATATAGGTCAAATGTACCAGTTGGCCACTATTTGATTTGTAAGAGTAGATTAAAACAGGTTCATAATGTTCTATTATGCTAATTATATGTCTTTCTGACGTATATGAAGCAAAAGATTTGCATTGCAATGCGATTTGGAAAACTCTGCGCATAGGATTAAAATAATTATTGCAGTGCAGAACGAAATGCATGTACCGCAGCATATTACAGTTGCCGGGGATGCTGATCAGGAACATACAAGACAACATTTTAGCAATGCTGATAAGTATGCTTATCAGATGAATGTGCCAGAAAGGATTCTCGTTACTGGAGGCAATGAAACACGTGCTGATCGTGCGCCACCATCCGAAGTAATACTTGACCGTATGGCTCTCTTTTATCCAACTGCCGTAAGTTCTTGTCTTTCTATGTGGATTTTTTTCTTCGATTGAAATTAAGTATTGTCGGTAAAGTTGTACTGTGTAAGAGGAACTGCCTAGAAACGTATTATGGAAAATTTTTGGCTTTATAAAGTCAATTTATTGCTTATACAATGATTTTACACCTCGCGCTATTAGTAGCACCTAGCAAATGTATATTTTTACTTGCATTTCTAGAGATAAGTATAATATTCCGTAATATTAAGTGATCATGTGATCATTCTAATGATTGATATACTTTGACTTTTTTTTGTCAAAAGTTATGGACCAACTTTTTAACAGCTGATAAGATAGAATCGTTTTCTAGAATGAAATATTAAATAGTAAAATATTGTTATTGTAGCAGTTAGCTACTCCGCCGAGAACACTGACGCTTGATAAAGGACCGTGTCCGGAAATTGCTGGCGATACTCCTTCTCCTAAGGATACGCCTCCCTTACAGGTACGTTCTTGTTACTTTTCAAATCTGCCGTGTTATACTTTCGCGAAAAATGTTTGTTTTGTTTTAGGTAATATATGTTGTTATATATTGATTCTTCCTCTTGAAATTATTTTCGGATTTTATATGCAAATCAAATTCAAGAAAAGAATATATTTGCTTATGATATCAAGTCTGTATTTAAACTCATCATGTAATATTTTTTAAGGAACTTTCATCATCACTAGCGGTAGAGCAGAATCCTCTGCGTGAATTGAAATTAATGAGGCGACAGTTAGGACGTTTGTCGACACGTTTGTATCAGTTAGAAGATGACTTCGAACGTAGAAAAACTAAGGAATCTTTGCTGTGGACATGTGTGCTAAGTATTACTGGTTTATTTTTGTACTTATTTTTCAAGAAAAAGGTTTAGAATTCTTTTCCCGTGCTATTTTTGTGGGTACTTGTATTAATGATGAATGTTATTATATTCCATTGGATCGTCTTCTCTATTGTTTGTTGTGTTAGTAATTTAGCCAGTACATACAAATTGTTATATTTTTACTTTTATTCTAGAAACTTAAGAAAAGCCAGAAACTTATTAGACTATGATTCAATATTTCCGTTCAGTTTCAAATCGAGATTGTAGAATTTTCTCTGACTGTATCAAAATTCTTATTCGCTTTACTTCCCCACACACTGTTTTGCTTCTGTGGTATTTGCAATTTATGCTGAGATATCAAGAGCGTATTTACTTTTCCAAAATGTTTGTGAATCTCTGCCTTCAAGCCTTAAACTTCTCTCTACCTTTAATTAAGTGCTATGCTTAAAATAAGAGTTCATCAAATGTTGATTTATATATAGAAAGTTTTGTAAGTTTTGTTTTGGAACTTTTTGATTGTCGATTCAAGTTCTCAGATACATTTCTTTAAAATAATCATTAGATTTCCGCAATGATAAATTCCTCGTTCACGTAACTAGTCGCGATTTCCTAGTTTTGTATTTAGATTTTTAGTATTTTCATCTGAAGTCTGAAAGATATAACATGCTATTGGTTTTTCTTATTTCCTTCTTTACGATTATTTTCAATAATTTTTGTTATTGATTGAATCCAGGAACTCGATTTAATGTGCAAGCTCCAAAAAATATTGATGTTTCTGGATTTCCGTTTCGATTAATCGTTTCACCCCTTCACTCAGGTGCCGCTGATCTTTTTTTATCTTCTAAAAAAATTTGTTTAATATTTTAGAAAATGGAGGAATAAGAACTATTCCAGTTATGATTAAAGATTTTTTCGTGATCATTTGTCACAACGTATTGCAATGGTCGGCAGTAAAGTGATATGGTAGCATCACTTAGATGGAATATCAATTTCCACTGATCCAGTTTAAGAGTTGCCCTTTTTATTAATCGTATTAAATCCGCCGCATACGTATCTTGAAGTTGTTATAATCGGCATGAACAAATAAATGTCAACATTTACAAGGACAAACTCATCTCATCAATATTGAACACTACTACAATAAATTGATGATAATTGGACAGAAGATAGTGTCTTTTACGCAATTACATGAAATTTCGATTAGTGATTCCAAATTCCACCGACATTAACCCTTGCGAGAAAATCTAAGGAGTCTCGTTTCGTAGGCGAGTGGTATGTTGTAAAGCTTCGAAGTGAGTTACTAAGGATGCAAAGAAAGCTAGGAATTTGTAAAATGTTTACTGGAGTGAAGAGATGGAATTAAAGGTGCTTTACTTGTAAGGACAAACATCATCTCATCTACATAAACACTATCACAGATAAATTGATATAGTTGTTGAAAAAAAGATAGTGTTTTCTTTCATTGTTCAATGACACAGTTAAACAATCAAAATTTGAGAATTAATAAAGATTTGGAATCGGAGAAAATCGAAGCCATCACTCAAATGTGAATTTGTTTCTCCTGATGTTGGATGAGTTAACCGCACAGTTATTCCAGAGATATGTACTGAGTTGTGGAGGATAGAAGCTAATAAAGCAATAAATTGTGTGAAAAATTTTACATGATCGCTGTCTTTATTTAAATAAGAGAAAGCTTGACGCTAAGCTACTCCCATTTTAACAAATTAATTTACCAAATTTGACAGATGAACAGTCCCAAATTAATTTGGGTTGTTTCATTCAGCTAAACTTAAACAAGCACGACGAGGCTGTCGAAGAATCAGATTTGAAGCGATGCATCAGAAGTGATCACTCATTTTCATAAACAAGAAATGATTAATAGGAACAACGGGAATAGAAAAAATTGGAAGTGACAATTATTCTCACTTATTACTAATTCAAATGATCCGATGATGTATTCAGAAAGAAAATTAACAATGTTTATTTAATAGCAAATTTCTTAGACTAACTAAGTGTACTTGAAGAATCTCTGAGAAAAGTATTGCTGATCATATTAAGTGATTTATCGAATCTTCTTTCGATAAAAAAAATCCGATAAAATATAAATGTTGAACAGGTGAAGAATGCTATCATTACTGATGTAAAAAAAATTAGATTGAAAAATAGCTTTGATTTTGTTAAAATATACTCAATATTATTTGATTGTTTTTGCTGAGAAAATTTTAGGAATGTTACAAAATCCTTAGTGAATAATGAGAAAAAAGAAAAAACGTAAATATCAGTGTATGTTGATATATTGATTATAGCTTAGCTTTCAAAGAATTAACTCATCTTGATATCTGAATTGATAATAAACATGATTCTAATAATTTATCATAAATACAACTGTGATCAACATTGGAAATGTGAGTTTCGCTATTTCATTGCTAATATTTTTCGATGACAATGATGTTATCATGATAGCCGAGGATGCTCGAAGAGATCGAATATCATGGAATTCATCTCGTATGATAAAAGGCAAATATTATCGATGAGAGATTTCGTAAATTTTACTTAATGTGACAAGCATCGAAAAGGATGAATATCACTTTTGTTGCGGAAAAAGAAAGTAAGTGATATTAATATTAAAGTTGGTTATAATATATCGCTATATTTTCTTACTTTGCTATTTTTCAAATCGCCAAATCTTAGCTATTTGAAAAATTAAAAAGCGAACAAATGAATTCAGCATTCCGGGAAAATCGCAAAATTGCTTCGAACCGTTGCAGCAATCAAAATCATTGTTGCAAATGAAATTGGGGAGTGGGAAGATGGTGGGAGTGTGTTGTAAGGTCAGAGGTGAGTGTTAGCTGCTGGAGGGGGGGATATGATTCCAATGTTGAAATTGCAATTTGCTTGAGTTGCGTAATCACTTTCTACACAAATGCTAATTTTCCTTCCTCAGGGACATTTTAAAGATCGAGAATTCTGTAATTCCTTATAGGGACATCGATCTGAAACTTCTAGTGTGAGGATGGGAATTTATGGATTTGATTTAATGAAATCGAAAAATTGCTAATGTAATTAGACATGAAAAGATATGCAATTATGAACGAAATATTGATTTAGACATAAGAGATGTAGATGATCGATAATTTACAGCAAAACATGGGCAGACCGAAAAAGCTTGATAGAAGTGGAAGCAATCGACAACGATCTAGTGATAGTGACAGTTATGGAAGGCGTACGCGAAGCAGAAGTCGAGATCGACATATGAGCAAGAGCAAGAGTAGAGGTCGACGCAATAGCAGGAGCAGGAGTAGAGATCGACGTAATAGCAGTAGTAGAAATAGGGATCGACATAGTAGCAGGAGCAGGAGTAGAGGTCGACGTGATAGCAGGAGTAGGAGTAGAGGTCGACGTGATAGCAGGAGCGTAAGTCGAGGTCGGCGTTATAGCAGGAGCAGAAGTAGAGGTCGACGTAATAGCAGGAGCGTAAGTCGAGGTCGGCGCTACAGCAGGAGCAAAAGTCAGGAACGACGTTATAGCAGGAGCAGAAGTGCAGATCGGCGTAGTAACAGAAGCCGAAGTCATGGAAGACAAGGAAGCAAAAGTAATGGGAGACGACGTAGTCGAGAAAGGAGTCAAAGCTATCTTTGGCGTGGTCGAGATCGAAGCAAGAGTAAAAGCAATGAGAAAATTGAGAGGTTAATTATTTGTTGTTTGCTTTACAGTGATAATTAATTATGATAAGTTTCGAATTAACTTAAATGTGATGGTGAATTATTGAGATTTTAAATTCGGCCAAACTATTAAATAGCAGTGTAGAAATTGCCTTCACTTTTTTTTCCATTTTTTTCCCAGAAATTCTCAAAGCCATTTATAAAGATAATCTTAGGACTTTTATAGCAGAAATGAGGGAAATAAAATGATGTTTAATTTAGTTGGAAGTTCGTTGCATTTTTTACAGAGACAAACATGATAAACGGAGCACGAGACATGGACATTCAAAACAGCGGGGCAGAACTAGCCAAGAAAAAATGAAAGATACAGCGAAGGTAAATTTGGCTATTAACTGAACGAAAGTTTGTTATTAGTAAATAGTGCCTATTATAGAGAAATGAAAAGAGAGCTGCTCAAAATTTTTCTAGAAGAAAATATTACAAAAGTCGTGAATACGGAAAATAGTTGCTGAAAGTTCTGAATAACAATATCTTTTGAGTTAAAAGCTCTGTCATTATTGTATTTTAAGGAAATAGAAATGATGAAGTCACGAATGCGTTCTGCTCTTGAATCTGCACAAGGAAAAATGGGTGATCTCGTTGAAGCAAGAGGTGTGTTAAATGAATCACATTTAACTATGGATCTTACAGTTATGGAGACAGTTGCACGACATCGCGATATTGAACGTATCGAAGAGGAAAGCTTTCATCAATCTACATTTGTTTCTTCTTCTGGAGGAGCTGGTGGAAGAGTTAGAAAAGAGGTTTATTTGAGTATTTTTACGTAAATTTTATGTAAATTTTTAATGGATAGTAGAGTAAGAGCACTTTTGTAGTTTCTAAATGTTTTTAAAAAAGTAGCGTTTGAGTATTTTTTATCGATTGATTTTACTTCAATATTTACATGTTTATTAATTTTAATGTTAAAAATACTTATAATTCTAGAATAGCATCATGGAAGATAAAAGATAATATTCAGAACCTTTTGTCTTATTGCTCATAATCTGTCTGTAGGACAAAGGAAGTAGCCATGAACTAAATGAGTTGAATTATCTCAAAAACAAGGCAAAAATATCTGTAAATGTATTTGTATAATTCTCTTAAAAACCGGCATATCATTGAAGCACGTTACTCGATGTAGGTATATGTATCAAAGTCATTTATATAAGAAGCTTATATTGGCAGTGGCTGGTTCTATTTGACTGATCAATGGTTGCGTTGTTCGTAGTAACGCATGTTGTGTAGGGAAATTTTTTGTTGATTAGTGCTTCAAATTATTTCTATTTTGACTCTCCATTTCCTTCAGGATATGACTAATCATACAGCAGTGGTGACGAAGAAGGAAGACGAACATGATAAAGCAATGTTTGGTCCAAAATGGCGAGATGCCGAGAAAAAATATAGTGAGGAGACAAGAGAAACAATTACAGATGTTGAAGTCGATAAGGAAATACCTCTTGCTAATGCACGGGTAATTTTTTTGCTGTTTTTTTTGGTTTCCGTTCCCCTAGATGATCCAATCAAAAGAATAAATTAATTGTAGAAAAATATTACTCCCTTTTAAGCTGCTTCCGATATTCGATTTGAAATGTAATACTATCGCATGTTTTTTTTTTTTGAAGTCAGCCGTTTTCTATTATTCAGTGGGTTCTTTGTTAGCTAAAGTTTATTAGAAATTTATTGTCGATCATTTCTGCCTTTGATTGCTTGCTTTACTTCATTTAATTATTGTAGCGAATTTGATTATTGATTTTAACAGCTTTTTTTTAGTTTTATGAAGATTGTGCTATACGTGAAAAACGTTGGTTGAAGATATATCGTGAAAGACGAACAAAGTTGTTGGGTTTGTGATATAAATTCACTGTCTTATTGCTTGATTCATGTATATTTATTATAATGGAGGGTAGACATTGCTACTCTCATAACAGAACAAGAAAAGCTTTTTGCGCAAAAAGCGATCTCATTCAGTATGTTTGGTGCTATTGGGAATGCAAAATCGAAAAATGATTTTTTTTTTCTGCAAAAATGTTATTAATACAAAATGTAAGATCATTTTATATGTAATTGATCTCAATACCTAATTTTGTTTACAAAAATCACTGTGGGTTTCGAATATCACGAATTTGTTATTCCAGAATAAAATAAATTCAAGGAAACTGTGCTAGCATACAGTTCTTCATAATATAAACTTTTTTTTTTAATGAGAGCATATACTCACTTACATCTTTATTTCATCATTATAGATTGAAGTAGCCAATGATCTCAGAGTTCTAAATTCAGGTTTTTTTTATCTTCTAGATTTTTGCTTTCTTTATTTTTTCGAAAGTAATGGTGATCTTTATTTTTACATGTAACAGCCATTGATATATCACGAACGTGAATTCTTCAACTTGGTGGTTTCATTCACATAACATACTGGTTCCGCTTCACGAACTATATTTACTTCTGCAGGAAATTTTATTATGATGTAAATATAGGTTATTTTTATGTTTCATAATTTTTTAAAAATAGTTTCTATTTGATGGGATACTTTGCAACATTAGTACTATCATCGGTATTAAAAATGCATACAATTTATATCTTGTCCAAATTACCATTAAATGCATTTTCACATTTTTTTGGATAGCTTTGATGGTTAAATAGTTATGTTTTTCAATAATTGCAATGGTGTTGGTAAAGGGTTGATAGATGATTTTGGTCGGCTCATTTTCTCGGTGTATGTGTTAACGAACGGAAAACTGGTTCCGTTAAAATGATATGCCATGGTCTATCGCCGGTGCGCAAGGCAGTTTTCTAGCATCCTATATGTTTCTTTTCTTTTTCCTTTCCATATTCATTTTATTATATGTATCTGTCTTCGTGAGAATTTTTTTCACTTTACATCAATAAGTCATTGCTATCTCTCTCTCTCTCTCTCTCTCTCTCTCTGTATTTCGTGGATTTATCATTCCTCTTAATTAGCTATTCTAGGAAACCTGCGAAGAAAACAATTCTAGTTCCATAGCATTCAAGGCACATGTTTCAGAACGGTCATTTCCAGAAGAATATGAATTACGTGATAGCTGATTTCTAAAGTAAGATTTTTTGCACGAACCAATGTTTTTATCAACTTGAGAAGTCAGATAATCATCTTGAATACCATTAAACGAAAATAAAACACAAAAGAGATAATAATAATTAAAATCAGATCATGAACTGAGAAAATGTTACTTTATTGTAGATTTATATTAAAAAATAGCAAAAAAAAAGATATGAAAAGGATGTTTACTGTTACTTTCCTTATTTACATTCGAAATGTTTTTGAAGAAAAGAAAGAATATTATTGCTGGCGAAGTAATGTATATTGTATATTGTATATTGTATATTGTATATGTATTTGTATATGTATATGTATATGTATATGTAT